AATGCAACCAGAATGCTCCTTCAAATCGAGAAGGGCCAGATTTGGCCTCACACATGTTAGACGCCTTGCCAGGAAACACCCATCCCCGGGGAAAGATGCCATGCTTGATACAACAGGGGGTCAGGGTCAGAGAGGAAGATCCTCCAGGAGATGGAGTGACACGGTGATTGCCACCGTGGGCTCCAGCCTAGGAACCACGTGAGAGGAGCGGATGGAGCAGGACCGGGTGGAGCGTGGGTCTATTGGACGTGCTGTTACCAGGAGGCGGGGCCAACTCACTACAGCAGCAAGGACCACATGCTCAGACTGACCCTGCAGCGAGCATCCCTTGTGGCTGGACCCTTGGGTGTGGGAAGCTGTGGACGGGGGAGCCGGGCAAGAACAATCATAAAAGTATCAGCTAACCTGGTGTAGTGGTTATATGCTGGGTACCTAACCGCAAGGTCTGCGGTTTGAAACCGCCAGCTGCTCCTTGGGAGAAAGATGGGGCTTTCTGCTCTGTAAAGAGTGACAGTCTCGGAAACCCACAGGGGCAATTCTAGCCTGTCCTATGGGGGCACTCTGAGTCAGTATCCACTTGATGGCAGGGAGCTTTCTGCGTCACTGCCAGGGCCAGCTCTCAGCACGCCCCGTGTCCTGGCTCACTCAATACTCCTAGCAGTACTTTGAGGTGCATGCTTTCAATGACTCCCCATTATAGATGAGGTGGAACTAGGCACAGGAAGGTTAAGTGACTTGCCCAAGGTCACACAGCTAGCTAGCGGCCAAGCTGGAACGTGAGCCCCAGGGGAGGCACCATTAATTTCTGCACCTGCAGCTCCCAGGGCTGGAGCTGGACTTGATCTGGCTGCCCACCCGCTGGGTGAGCTCGGGCGCCTCCCCTCGCAGAGCCTCAGGCTCCTCATCTGTAAAATGGCCTTAGATGCTGCGGAGTGAGAGATAAGAGCGCCCCGGGCCACATGCCATTGCCACCATCATTAACCAGTGCGTTCTGGATAAACAGAGGGGAGGGTGCTCCGGGGCGAGGGGGGGGCTGCACTTGGCATGGCAATGAGCAGGCTCCCTTCTTGCTCCTGCCCATTTTATCCCAATCAATCTAACGCCCCTGGGCCCCAGGCTGCCATGCCTGCCCAGCCCTCATCCTTCACACCACTCTTGCCCTTGGACTCAGTTCCCCCTGTCAGCTGGAGGCTCTGGCTCAAGGCAGAGTTTCTGGGGCACTGGGCCACTGGCATTAGCTCAGGGAATGGTTGGATAGTGGCCCAACACCTGTGGGCTCGGGTGAGCTGGCCTGGCAGGGGCGGTGGGAAATTGAGTTTCCTGCCCATCTGGGTGGCAGCTGTGGTCCAGCCTTCCTAGCCAGGCTGGCAGAGCCACGCTTACTTTCCTGCTTTTGAGGTGGGAACTGGTTTGCTGGCGCACTGGGGGCACCCACACTGAATGCTTGCTTTTGTGGACCGGTTTACAAGACATTTTTGGCAGCAGCTTCCGGGCCTGGCTTTTGACAGTTTTGAGTCCTAGGTCTGTGACTGGGTCCTGCTGCGCATTTGTCAAGAAGTTACTTACTTCCCTGAACCGCGTTTGCCTCATCCGTGAAATGGGTGTGATAATTGAGCCTTGCTCGAGTGCGTTCTTGGGAGATGTAAGGAGATATGCTTAGCTCCTGGGTTGCACGGAACAAGTATTCCACATCCCTCAGCAGCCTTTGCCCACGCCCTGGCTCCTCTGCTGTGGCCTGGGCTGGGCTGACAGTGGCCCGGTGAAGGGTGACCAGCCCATGGCTAGCCTCTGACCAGGACTCTGATCCCTGAGTTAGTGCCCTTTGCACTGTCTTAAAAATCTGCCCTGAGGGAAGATTCCCTCCCTTTTTTTTTTTTTTTCAATGCATGTTTGTTTTTTATTTGTTTGAAACTGTGTTTTCAGTGACAGTTTAAAGTTTTCATATCAAAATTTCTATACAACTTGTTCAACGACGTTGATTGCTTTCTTTACAATCCAAAAGAAAGCAGAAAATTAGTTTTAAAAACTGAAACAAATTAAAAATGAGTTCAAAGAGAAAGAAATGACAAGATGTGAAACTTTAACATATATTGCAATAATTCACTTCCTGCTGTAGCCTCTTTGACAAGGGCTTTGCACAATCCTAGTCAATGGTCCACGGGTATTCAAGGGAAGTTTGTTCCTTATGGAGTCTTTGCAAATGGACTTTGGGCTTTCACTGTGATCCTTCGCCTTCTGCAAACCAGGTGCTCAGAATTTAAACTCGAATACATCCCCCTCATGTATTGTTAGATTTTGTTATGTACAGTCTTTGGGTCACACTGACTCTTGTGCTTCTTCCATGTGTGCCTAGCTGCCACCTCTCTTAGATAGCTGCTTCTTTTAAGACAAGTTTTTAAGACTATTCACACCAGGATAGAAAAAGGCAAGACTTTCTACTCCTATAAAGAGGTAGTCTCAGAAGCCCACAGGAGTAGTCCCAGACTGTCCTAGAGAGCCTCGCTGAGTCAGAATCAACTCAGTAGCAGTGAGATTTTTTGTCAAGGGTTTTAGTATGGCTTCTCCATGATAATTTGCTTTCAAATAATTGCCTTCTACTAACTTTGGACATGTTATAAGCAGGGACCAGTTCCTGGAGAAGGACATCATTATTTGTAAAGTAGGGAGTCAATACAAAAGAGGAAAAACCCTGAAAGATCAGTGACGGCAACAATGGGCTCAAAGAGAGGAACACTTGTGAGGATGGCAGAGGGCTGCAGAGTACATCATCCTGCTTTGCATAGGGTTGCTGTGAGTGATAATGGACTTGATAGAAATGAATAACAGTCCTTTAAGAAAGCAGGCATTCACACAGCCAGAAACTCAATTGGAAATCAGGGTCAGGTTGGAAAGAACCCTTAGCACAGCCACGCAGAAACATTTCTTAGGGTTTGGTTTCTTAATACTAGTACCTCCTTCTAACCCATGTCCTTGGAAAAATGCTTCTCTCTTATGCCTTCTGTTTCTTAACTGAGTGTGGCACCTTGAGTCTCATGCTGACTATTTGACCTCATTTCATTTATTTATTTATTTTTTTATATTATTTTTTTAAACATTTTATTAGGGGCTCATACAACTGTTATCCCAATCCATACACACATCAATTGTGTAAAGCGCATTTGTACATCGTTTCTCAAAACATTTTCTCTCCATTTAAACCCCCGACATTAGGTCCTCATTTTTCCCCTCCCTCCCCGCTCCCCGCTCCCTCACAAGCCCTTGATAGTTTATAAATGGGTATTTTGTCATATCTTGCCCTGTCCGACGTCTCCCTTCATCCACTTTTCGGTTGTCTGTCCCCCAGGGAGGAGGTCACACACAGTTCCATGTAATCGGTTCCCTCTTTCCTACCCATTCTCCCTTTACCCTCCCTGTTCCCTTCTTAAACGACTTGCCCCCCTCTTCTTTCATTGCAGTCCCTGTTTCTAATTCCCCTGGTTCCTGGACGGGGGAGCAGGGAGCAGGGGGCATGGTTTGGAAAGTGCTGAAGACCTCAGCCAGCCTAGGGGAGCACAGAGGAGCAGGGAGGGGTCTGTGACAGGGGTGCCCCAGATCCCAGTCTCCTTCCCCAGCAGGTGCAGTCGGCAGTGCGTTAGAGACCCGCACAAATGTTCTCATGTCAATTTCTCCTTAAAACCAGAAGGAAATAATGATGATGATGAGTGGAGAAACCCGATTCCACCTGGGCTGTCCGTGTCACGATGCGCTTGTGTAAAGTCATCGATAGCATCCCGGGCCTGGCATCAAGTGGCCCTGGCCAGTGTGGCTACCAACTGCTACCAGCCAGGGCATGGGGGGATGGCAGAGGAGACTGGGGGCTCAGGGCCACGGTGAGAAGAGTTCTGGAATTGCAAGGGGATTAGAGATCAAAGGTATGGCAAGGGCCAAAATCAAGTCCCCTGCTTTCAAAAGGGGAAGCCAAGGGAGTGGTCGGTCTGTGGCCAGTGGAGCAGAGGCTGCCCGGGGGCCTGCCAATGCCCGGGCCCTGCAGGCTGGTGCCACAAGTCTGGGGGCTGGGTGGGAGGTTAGGAAGGCATGACCTCAGTTACCGACAGTGTTCCTCCGTGAGAGACTCCACGGGGACACCCCCAGGGAGAATCCCCAGGGAGGAGTGTGGCCAGCACCTGCTGGGCCCAGTTCCCAGCATCCTCCACTCCTTGCAGCGAACTCGGCTAACTCACAGCCTCACTGCAAGCGGGAAGTAACCCTTTGTCTTTAAACTGCTCCAGTCACTGACCTCCCCCCGGGTGGTGGTGGTGGGGCACATCCTACCTTTCTTGTATATTTCTGGGGCACAGCAGGGTGGTCTGCTGGGCACTGGGAGACAGGCTTGGAGAGAGGGGCAGTCCTGCTCTGCGGAGTTCCGGTCTCATGTACTTGATCTGAGTCAGCATCCTCCTCCGGGCTCTGAGCCCCAGGAGGGCGGCGCTGTGGCCGGCAGGTGGCTTGTGAACCAGTGAATGGCTGGAGGGTGGGGTGCACGGAGAAACGGGTCTTGGCTCTGAGCATCCTTGGGAGCCATGGGTGTGTCTCCAGCAGGGGGCTCAGGGTTGGGCTGGTGCCATGGGGGGCTCGCTCCCTCTCTACAGTGAGCTGGGTCGGACTGGGGCCAGGGTGGGAGACGCGCCTGGAGCTGCCCATGGTGGCCGGGGGAATGCTGGAGTCTGCGCTCCGTGTGGGAGTGACGGGGTGAGGAAGAGGGATGAAGGCAGGGAAGGTCAGAGGTAGGACTCTGGATGGCTGGACAGGCTTTGGTGCAGGTGGACAGAGAAGGCAGCGGGAGGGACATTCAGGGTGCCGGCTCACCCTGTGGGCAGTGGTACGTGTGGGCGGGGTGTGGGAAGCAAGCTGTGACCTGGACAAGCAGATTCCTTAATGTCTGAGCCCCTCACATTCCTCGCCTGTGACGTGGGGATTGTGATCACATCTACAGAAGTGTCACATCGTTACTGAAATGTTGACAGAAAGAAATCACGTCCTAAAAGTACTGACCACAAAGGTTGCCACTTTGTAGGCATTCAGGACACTACCCTTTATGCCTCTTATTTGCTTCGTATTCTCAGAGGGGGGCTCCTTGGATGGGTGGGTGGGTGGGGAGCTCGGGACCAGGCACCAGGAGGAAGTAGGAAAGAGAGTGGGCGTCACAGGGTCCCAGAGTCAGGGGACAAGCTGGACTGTGTGGGGTCTCAGGAGGAGAACGGGATGAGGAGCAGTCTGAGGCTGGGGGACGGGGGTGGTGAGGACTGGGCCAAGCTGGACAAGGCAGGCTGTCTGGGCCCGGGGCCCAGGGCTCCGGCTCAGCAGGAGCAGTGACCCCGTCTGGGGCGATCCTGGCTCTCAGGCTTTCTGGGAGTCCGCATCACGGGAGGGGAAGAGGCGTGTCGTGCTGTCTCCGGCCAAGTGCAAGACCGTCTTCCTCTTCACGGTACTTTTCCACGGGGTGTTTATAGCTCCCTGGACCGTCCCTAATCCCCGAGACCAGAGGGGAGTGTGATGCCATGACTGGGATGGGCGTGGGAGGTTTCTGGAGAAAGACGGAGAGAATGAAGAGGTGGCGGCTCTTCCAGGTGGCTGGACTGGGTGTGAAAGACAGACAGGGACTTCCCGGCTTGTGGGCGGGTGGGGGATGGAGGGGCTGAGGACAGGGGCCTGCGGACAGTGCTGGGAAGTGGAGTTGGACCTCCCGCCCCTCCGTCTGATGAAGGACAGCAAGGACCAGCCCATCCCTCCCCGCTGCCAATGGCACAAGGAACAAACCCTTGGAAAAATAGGTTTGGAAGACACACCACATCATTAACCTTGATCATTGGGAGGAAGGGCATGGGGGCCACGGATTAAGGGAGTGTTCACCACTTGTGTATGGTTTAGGACCCTGGGCTACACAGGGCTGCTAATGGAAAGGTCGGTGGGTCAAACAGATGGGGCAGTCTGCCACCCTAACAGGAACTTCTACTCTGTCCTCTGGGGGCACTGTGAGTTGCAGTCAGCCCGCCGGCTGGGGGTTTGGGTTTTGTGGTTTTGGATTTTTTAGAATTCTGGTGACCAGGGTGGCCCTTGTTCGGGCCTCTTCTCCAGGAGGTGGTGGGCAGGGGAGCAGTCTGGGAGGTGGTGGGATTCACCTTCATGCTCGATATGGGTCCCAGACTGGCCAGGATCCAACTTGGCTCCTGCACATGCCTGTGGTTTGGAGGTGTCCTGTGACGTGAACCCCCGCCCCAACCCCCCACCCCCAGAGGTGGGCTTCTCGGGAGGTATTGCCACCAAAAGTGGGCATGTGGTTCCCCTGCACAGTTAGGGGACTCCACCCAGGGTGCACAGCCAGGTGGCATCCATCGCCCATCCAGGCCACCCCCTCTGCCCTCGTCTACGAGGTCTCTCTAGCGGGTGGAGCTGCAAGGCTCAGGTTGGAACTGGGGCCTGGACAGGGCTCAGGGCCCCTGGCCCAGGAGGGCAAGGCCGGGAGAGGAGAAGCTCCCAGTGATGGTGGGAGCAGGGGACAGGAGGCATCTGGAGCCATCCCCTGTGGCTGGAGGGGTCCAGCTGCCGGGCATGGCTGACCAGCCACTTCTCGGCAGATGCTCCTCGGCTGATGGGGCTGCCGCGGGATGTCACCGTGGACCTGGGGAGAAGTGCCCTCCTGGTGTGCCGGGCCACCGGCCGCCCGCCTCCTACAGTCACCTGGCGCCGCAGAGATGGCCAGCCACTGGGACCCGGCAGCCAGACCCGGCAGCCAGACACAGGGGCGCTGTTCTTTAACAGTAAGCGATGGGACTGTGGGAGGGTGGACAGGGAGATGCCACTGCTTCTGACCCCTCAACCCGCAGGCTGGGCTGGGAGCAGGGCTGGGACAGCACTCACCGGGGTCACGTGCTAGCTGGGTGAGCCCAGCCAAGTTGTTCCTCTACCCAGAATCTGGTAATAATAGCTCTGCTGGCACTGCCTGGGGCTGACGACAGTCCCCCTGGCAGGGTTGTTGTGGGGCAGTGAGGTAATGGACAGGAAGCACGTAGTACACTTCCTGACACGAATTCAGTGGACCGGCGTGTTGGGCTGCTAACCTCAAGGTTGGCAGTTCAAACCCACCAGGGGCTCTGTGGGAGAAAGATGAGGCTTTCTGGTCCCATAAACACTTCTAAAACCCCAAACCATCGAGTCGATGCCAACTCACAGAGAGCCCACAGGAGAGGGGAGAACTTCCCCTGTGAGTCTCAGAGACCGTCACTGTTAACAGGAGTAGAAAGCCTCATTTTGCGCCTATGGAGGGGCTGGTGGCTTTGAACTGCTGACCTTGTGGATCACAGCCCAGTGAGTAAACGCCATCAGGACGCCAGCATAAAGATTGCACAGCCTCGGAAACCCCAAGGGGGCAGTTCTACTCTGTCC